GCCCACAACGCCCCCCGCCGAGGCTCCCACCGGGCCGGACGCAGCGTGCAGGGACGCGGGCGCCATGCAGCCAGGCTCCAGTGCAAAGGGGCCCAGCCCGATGCAGGCACGCCACCGCTCCCTCCGGGGCTGGGGCCCTCCTGGTGTCCCAACGGCCACGCGTGGTCTCAGGCACGTCCCCAAGAAAGTCAGCTGGGGCACAGGCTGCCTACGGGCCCCGTCCGCCCTTTTGGCAGGGCACCTCCTGGGAAGAACTCGGGTTGGGTTTCCTGCCCCAGGGGCAGCCCTGTGGAGCTGGTGCATGGGCAGCGGGCATCTGCGGTGTGGCTGGTGCTGAATGGGCCACCCACTCTGGATTACAGATTTGATTTGGGCGCTACTGGGGGTTAAGGAAGCTGCGGTGCAGTCTGACCTACGTGGGGTTGGGGAGGTGAATCTGGGTGCTGCATCAGGCTAACGGTGCCTGTGGTGTGACTGTCCCCTGCAAGCCCTGACACCACCCATCCCTTTGATGTGGTCTTGGTATCCACGGGCATGGGTCTGAGGCTGTGTCTGGGGCAGAAAGGTAGCTCAGCTCCTGTTTGCCCCCCGCCTGGGGCAGCTCTCACTCCAGGATCCTGACCCCCCTGCTCTTCCCCCACCCTGGGCCCATGGGGAAGGGAGAACAGGGGATGGGGAGTGCAGCCTCCCTCCCTGGGGACTGTGCTCTAAGGACAGTGCTGTGTCAGCACGGGGGCTACTCCCCAGAAACCCCCTACCCTCACGGGACCTGGAGCTGGGTGATCCCCCGCTCTCAGCTCCAACGTCTGAGTCTGGCCTGGAAACATTGCATGGACCCCCAATAGTCCCCGAGGAGCCCCAGGACTACCCAGAGCCTGCAAATGGGGCAGGGGAGGTGCAAGGGCATGGGGGCTTGCCCCAGGCTGGGGGGTCCTGTTTGTCCTCACCCCTCCCTCATGTCAGAGGGGTCCTTCTCTACCTCTGGGACCCTCCGGGCATTTCTGCCTTGCAGCAGCCCCGTCCACAGCAGGGCAGGGCCCCTGTGCGCCCCAAGCTCTGCGGGCGGGCAGATGCACACGGTCCCTCACCATGGCACGAGCATGGAGGGGGCTCGTCCTGCTCCAGGCAGGAGGTGTGTGGCCTTGCCGAAGGACGCTCCAGGGGTGACTTCTCCATCGCCAGCTGAGTCCCCTTCCCATACTGAGGAGGGGTCTGGATACAGTCGCCCCATCCTACCCCGAGGGCCCCCAGTCCTGTGCCCTGCCCGACGGGGCTCATACCAGGAGCCTGGGGGGAAGGTCAGCCCAAGCACATGTGACCTGTCAGCTCGCAGGGGCACTGAACATCGCATTTTCTGGACTGGGTGCCCCAGGGTCTTGGCTTCACCAGTGAGATGCTTCCAGCTGCGGGGGCTGCCCCAGGTGCTCGGGATGCCAGTGATGCCCTGG